TGTCTTTCGTAATGTAGTGAAGGGGCTCTACGGTACGAGGGGTATCGGAACGAAGCAAATGATCAAAATAGCCTTCGAGTTGACTGTTACCGGATTGTATAAGCCGTCCTAGATCGGCCATAGTGCGCTGGTTGGCCCGAAGATTAGATATCTGCATGTCGTTGTATGACTTGTTGAGTCGCTTCATGGATGCTAAGAAATTCGGCAGCCCAGCCCTGTCTGGGCCAGATCGGATTGTTTGTTCTTCATCGCCTTTACTATCGGCTGGCTGACGAAGCCGATCGATGGCCGAAAGTATCGAATCGATATCTAAGGAGAACAGTTTTGTTTAGTATAATTCAACTGTTCCAGCATAGCGAACTTACTGTGGCCAAGAGTCTGGATCCTTCTGGTTTCACCATTCAATGGCCCAGCAACGTCGCGCACGCTCTGGCCAGATGTCTCTAAGCGACCCAAACTTGCTTGAATCTTCTTTGTCAGTTGTGTCGTCTTCTCTAGATGGGAATTAAGCACGTCAACCTCTGCCCGAGCTTCCTCGTCGATGGCAGGGCCCTTGACGACTTGCCCGATGGCCATGGCGAAGCAGAAGAATGACGGCACTAGTGAGCAATGAGGCGGAGGTCGCGTGGAAGGAAAGCTGTGACCAGGTCGTCTGATGTGAGCCAAGCGTAGGCAGAGCGACGTTGGCGCGCTCTTTCGAACTACCGTCGTTGATGAGAAGGTGGCTAGATCGCCTGAGGCGCCTCTGTGGTTAGGTGAGCTTCAATGAGTGGGTGGGGCGCAGACGGCCTCGAGGTACCTGACCTGGGGAACAAGGTGCCCACTTATACCTCTCACAGTCAGCGAGGTACCTCCAAAGGTAAGCTACCAAGTGGGTGGGTGACAAGAGAAATGAGACACCTAATGCGGAAGTAGATGGTCATAGATGGAGTACTTTCCGCGATAGATGAGAAATTCGGTTATATAGAATTGAATAAAGAGATAATACTTACCGTATTATCTCTCGAGTATGTATTATTAGTACTCAATAATTTGATAATACTGATCGTAGACTTGAGAATAAGCAGCTTAATGTTCGAGTGTCTGAATTTCAATGTCACTCACTTGGCTACCTCCGTTTTAAGTATGCCTAAAAACGTGCCTCTATCCGACTCAGTCCCAAACTTGCACACAGGGGCTATCCTAGAGATAAGTTTTGTTATATATTATTATTAATTCACTTAAGTAGTTATCCTAATGACTGATGCAACCATAAAACCAGGGTTTTCTCTACTTATTTCGGTGGTTACTTGTCCCAATTAAATAATACTGAGCCTATGACTTCTATGGTAAGTATGGTAAGTTGTTTGGTGTGCCAGGCTATTTCTCAGCCGCTTACCAAGCTACAACCTCTATAGTTTCAGCACTCCTGATAAGAACGCATTATTCAATCGTTGCGAAGCTTGGTAGAATTGTATCTGCCAGTGAGAGAATGGGTGTAAAGGTAAAATAGTGACGATCGTCGCTAGAAGTTATCAAAACTTATCGATAAGGCTTATCTCCGCCACTTTACGCGTGACGCTAGAACGCGAACGCGTTACGCGTCGAAAATCACGGACCTCCCCCGCCCACCTCACTCACACCCTTGGCCTTGGAACAGACGAACATCGGAAACCGCCACGTATTTTCAATTTCCGCACCTTAGCCATTCAGTGAGATTGCCAATTCGCGAAGCAAAAGAAACGACCATCAATCAGGGCCCTGCAATGGCGGACATAGATTCAAGTAACCCTTTAGACCAAGGGGCGAGAGACCGCATCCGTCTTGCTCAGGAGTTTCTCGACCCAGGTACGTCCCTCAATCTCCAAAGAGAGGGGCAGCACATTCGTGCCCTTCACGCCTGAGTTTTTCGACCAATGGACTAATTTGAGACTCCTCAGGCGATGCTCATGCCCGTAGTTATCGATCCAACATCATCTTGATGCTTCAGAAAAATCTACGTCGCTTGACAGTCAACCTCGACCACGTGCGGAACCATAATCCCGAGCTTGCCCAGGGCATCTTGACACAACCATTCGACTACACCTTGGCATTCAATGAAGCGCTCAGAAGCATTGTGGATACCATCCAACCTCGTTCAGGTCCGAAAAAACGCGAACAACTACCTTACTACTGCGCCTGGGCAGGAAGTTTCGGCCTTCACGCTTGCAACCCACGCACACTTTCATCCCAACACCTCAACTATATGGTCTCTCTAGAGGGCATTGTCACTCGATGTTCATTAATCCGCCCAAAGATCGTCAAGAGCGTACATTACAATGAGACCAAAGATGTGCTAGTCACTCAAACTTACTCAGATCAGACCATGACCAATGGTGCGACAACCTCAAGTGTCTACCCTCGAGAGGATGCGAACGGGAATCCCCTTACCACTGAATACGGCCTCTGTACATACCAAGATCACCAAACCATCTCGATCCAGGAAATGCCCGAGCGCGCACCCGCCGGTCAGCTTCCTCGAGGAGTAGATGTCATCCTTGACGACGACTTGGTTGACAGTGTCAAGCCAGGTGACAGGATCCAGCTTGTGGGAATTTACCGAACTCTCGGAAATAGAAACACCAACCACAATAGCGCCCTGTTCAAGACTGTTATATTGGCAAACAATATTGTCCTTCTGTCTTCCAAGTCTGGGGGCGGGGTTGCCACTGCCACCATTACCGACACCGACATTCGAAACATCAATAAGGTGTCAAAGAAGAAAAATCTTCTCGAGCTATTATCGCAGTCTTTGGCACCCAGTATCTATGGCCATGACTACATCAAAAAGGCCATTTTACTCATGCTGTTAGGCGGCATGGAAAAGAATCTCGAAAACGGGACACACTTGCGTGGTGACATCAACATTTTGATGGTTGGCGATCCATCCACAGCCAAGAGTCAACTTTTGAGGTTTGTTCTCAATACTGCTCCGCTTGCTATTGCCACGACAGGTCGCGGTTCGTCTGGTGTCGGTTTAACGGCTGCCGTCACTACTGATAAGGAGACTGGTGAGAGGCGACTTGAAGCGGGTGCAATGGTCATGGCAGACCGTGGTGTCGTGTGCATTGACGAATTTGACAAGATGTCAGATATTGACCGCGTTGCCATCCACGAAGTAATGGAACAGCAAACTGTGACAATCGCTAAAGCTGGCATACACACCTCTCTCAACGCCCGGTGCAGTGTTGTTGCAGCCGCAAATCCCATCTTTGGCCAGTATGACCCTCACAAAGACCCCCATAAGAACATTGCGTTACCAGACTCTCTTTTGTCTCGTTTCGATCTTCTGTTCGTTGTCACAGACGACATTGAGGACACACGGGACCGCAAGGTCTCAGAGCATGTGCTTCGTATGCACCAATACCGTGTAGCTGGTTCTGAAGAAGGCGCACCGGTGCGAGATCAAGGCTCTCAGACCTTGGGTGTGGCAATGAATCTTCAATCCGAAGCCCAGGGCCCAACGGAAATGTATGAGAAATACAACGAAATGCTTCACGCTGGTGTCACTGTGACCTCGGGTCGAGGCTCGCAGAAAAAGACAGAAGTTTTGACTATGGCCTTTATGAAGAAGTACATACAGTATGCCAAAACTCGAATTAAGCCGGTTCTAACCCAAGAGGCTTCGGAAAGGATCGCAGAAATATATGTCGGTCTACGCAACGATGAGATGGAGGGAAATCAAAGACGAACAAGCCCCTTGACAGTCAGAACCTTGGAGACGATAATTCGCTTAGCTACTGCTCACGCGAAATCGCGATTGTCAAACAGGGTGGAGGAAAGAGATGCTTTGGCTGCAGAGGGCATCCTCCGATTTGCCTTGTTCAAGGAAGTGGTAGAGGACTCGCGTAAAAAGCGAAGGCGGACACAAGCCACAGTTGATTTTGCCTCCTCCAGCGATGAGAACTCCGATACCGAGGAGGGTGAAAACGAGCCGGTCCGTTCCAATCGCAGCGCCAGGCAGTCAGCCCAGACAACCCGAGCCACGACACGCTCGCAGTCTGGACCTGCTTCATCTACAGCTACCAACGGTGTCGGCGAAGCTGATCAAGTGGAAACGGATGTTGACGCCACGGATCCTAGAGTGATCTCTAGTCAAAACACACCACGGCGATCTACGCGGAGCACGAGGTCAGCAAATGCGGATTCCCAGTCTCAGACTTCGTTTGCTTCATCCATGCCTGCCTCTCAGCTGCCATCGTCGGGAACCCATGCTGCGGAACGATCGCAGGGCGACGAGCAACTTGTCGATGGTGCATCCAACCTTGCTCTCAATGACGATGAAGAGCCAATTACTCCTGCACGTTTAGCCACATTTAGGACGGCATTGGGACAGCTCCTTGGCACGGACTTGTTCGAGGATGACTCCGCGCCCCTCGAAGCTGTTGTTGATGCTGTGAACGCCAAGGTTGGAAACCGGGACGGGGGCCATTTCAATCGTGGAGAAGCCACGAAAGCATTGAAGAAGCTGTCAGAAGCTAACCATATAATGTATGTGCCAAATTGTAGTCTTCGATTGGAGATCGTGTCTAACTAAGTGGCTCTTTTAGGTTATCCGATGACGATATTGTCTTCCAGATCTAAACGAGGATGGGAGTGTGGCAGCGCGAACTGTGATGATTGGGGTTTGTATCCCCGGAGTCGCTGGCTCCGTGGTTCGCCTTGGGTAACAGGAGACGTGATCGTCACGGATATATTGACAAAATCGGCATTGGGGGAGATTATGTTGCTAGGGTTCGTGACGATGTTGTGATGGATGAGACACATGAACGCATTATTGGACATGATAAGTAATGACATTAATACAAGGGGGGTGAGCTATCTCGCAAGTCTAAACTTGTTATCCTGTTTTCCAGAAAAAACAAGAATGAAAATGGAAATGAAAATGACATGCAACAAGAATCAAGCAAGGAGGGTGAAACCATCCCCCAAAAAACATGTGTCTATAAGCTTTCTATTAAATGTTTCCGTTTAGGCGTAAATCATAGTCGTGATTGAAACCCCTTCAGTCGCTGCTGGATACTTTCTCCGTTCCATTTCTCCTCCTTGTTTTCATCTCCTGCCTCCAAAACCGGGACGCCAATTTGCTCGATGGCAAAGCTAGCCGCGACCGTGCCCCATGCGGCGGCCTCCTCAACACCATGTCCTCTGGCCAGAGCAACAGCCAAACCGCCCAGGAAGGTGTTGCCACCTCCTGTCGGATCAACGACCTTGGATGCGTCCTGGTGGTAGGCGGGAAGCCACCGTTCAATGCCTGGATCGACTTCTATCTCTTCGCGGGCAACCAAGCCATCGTCGTCCTGGAGGAGGCCAGCGAAGAGGGCCTCCATATCAGTATCTGGCTGCAAACCACCCCTGACGTAATTTTTCTTGCGTCGCTTGGTGGAGGATCCCGGGTCACGTTGCCGCTTCCTCCCTCCGTTCTTTGCTATGTAGCACCCTTTCTCCCCGACACGCACTACCAGCGTGAAGGACTGGAGGGGCATACTAGCAAGCAGTTGTTCGCAGGCCCGCTCAACGGAAACTGTGGAAATTTCACCAGTTTCCGGGTCGAGGCCATCGTCTCCCATGAATCCGGCAAGCTCGGAGTGGTTAGGGCTGCATATATCCACAACTGGCAAAGTGTTTGTGCAGTTGAGCAACTCGTCTGGAGTGCAGAGGTCCGGCACTGGCTCCCAAATGTATATTGGCCTAGTGTAGTTGTCGGGATTTGCTGCCTTGCGACGTGCTGAGATGTCGGCGACAAGTTGCTGGCAACGAAGGGGGGAGCAGATGAGATGGAAAGCCCTTGCCTGGAGGAGATTTGGTGTGAGGTCCTCAGCCGTGAGACGCTTTTTAGGCGTCATGTATTTAAAGGACCGCTGCTCCGAAGTTCCAACATAACCATTCCAGCCTCGGGTGGTGAGGCGCTCAGTGTCCTCACGGATGACAACCGATGTGCCCCAGCTGTCGATGATGTCCGCCGCTGATGCCGGAAAATCGCTGCCCTTGTCAACAACCCAGCCCACAGTAGAAGATTTGGGTGGTGGTGAGAAGAGGCGGGCGCCCAGGGCCGAATATGAGCCAGCTCCCCCGAGAATGTCCTTGACGGCAGTCTTTGGTGGTGCAAAGTCAATGTCGTCTTTGCAGGGTAGAAAATGGATTGAGGTTAGCCTAACGGTTATGGGGCGGGGAGGGAGGGCATCGTCGGTCCAGGTCTGAACCATTGGGAAATGATGAGGCTTTGATGGATCGAGAGTGTGGGCAATGGGCAGTGGATGGGCAGCTAGCTCACCGATAATAAACATTCCAAGAGTGACAAAGTCGATACAGGGCGCCGATGAAATGGCAGCTTCATCTTCCTTCTCGTCCTGGCCAGGGCGGTCTAACTTGGCGGGTTCGGGGGTCGGATTGGTCGCCGCCTCTGGCTGTTGATCTTGGGCCTCGGGCTTCTTGAGGTTTTCAGTCAGGACAATGATCCCTTGGGGCTTCCCATCCAGGGACCCGGTGGGGTCTTGCTGCGGTTGATCTTGTTGTGGTGCATTGTCCATCTGGATGTGATACGGAATAGCGCAGGTGAAAGGATGAGATTTTCGCCCTGTACATGAGCATGGAATAGGGCTGATACATGCAAATCCAGGCCGTCCTCCCAAACCAATGTAAGTATGCAAAAGTCCGCGATCGGATGGTGGATCAGGACGTCTAATGTAACAATCTCTGCTATGGACAATGAAGAGCGAGAAAAAAAACAAGCGGTGGGTGATGGCTGTTTCCGAGTGGAAACCGTCTTTCAGGCACACGGACGACGGCGGATGTACAGCAAGAAAAGGTGGTATGGAAAGTGTGTGTCAGATATCATTAGTGGTGGATGAGATAATATCAATCGGAGCCAAGATACATATGTGGGCTATGGAATCATGGACAGCAACGCATTCAACATCCAGCCCCGACCCAGGCCATGTTGGCCGTCCAAGATGATCATTATCCTGTCTGCATGATGATACGCACTGATCGTTGGTGCAGCTGTAGGGTATCAACACATGGGATCATGGATGGTCAGGCACCGTAACACAGGTGCCCACTACGGATCGGCTGTCAGTCTCGCTACTAGGCCTGCCCCGTCTGCGAGTGTGGTTGCACGTACATACAAGTACGTGCCTCGACCTTTCCAGAATAACCTTGAATGCATTTCCACCACATTTCATTGCCGTCAGCTCTAGTCCAGGCGCAGCAGTTGGCACGTCCATGGCCATCCCTCTAGGTCCTAGCACCCAACTCTACCTGCGATCCAGTGTTAGGCGACAGTGGAGGTACATGTACCCTGGGCATGAGCTCTAAGACGCTGGCAGGCAGAGGTATAGTAGCCTAACCTGGCCCGCGGATCTCCCAACTTCAAGTTATCGGGACCCCCTTAGGTAAGGCAGGTACCTGGTGAAGACCCACACGAGGTACCGTACCCACTGCCCGCCAGAAAGGTACCTACCGCCAAAGAAGCAGGCAGGTACGGGAGGTACCTTGCTAGTACGGTCAGAATGTGGTCGCCTGCAACCATCATAAACCATGATGGAATAGAGTTCCATCTTAGAGGAGAAGCTCCTATGCCCAGCTGCATCTTTGATTTTGCTTTCATATGTGCGCCGTCCCCAACCACATCCCGCTCATGGCCATGCGAAATCGTTCCTGGTCCTCTCGCCTCGAATCAACCTTCACCTCCCCCGAGGCAGCTGGGCGTACCCGTGTTGCCTAGGTACCACCCAAGTACCCCTAACTAAGACCACTACGACATACCTGGCTCGGCTCAGCAACGATCCAAGCTCGCCGTCTCTTTGCTCTACCTCTCCCAACAACATCACCCATATAGAGACTGGTATACAGCCAGACAAGACAAGACAAGACCATGGCGGCGCCAACCCATATGCACAATTTGACCACCCTTATTAAACGGTACCTATCAACTCCCCTACTTGGCTCAAGCTCACCCTTTCACCCTTCCCTGCTTCAGCTGCTGACTGGTTGCTTGCTCCCCTGAATAGACTGGAGGCTGCCACGTCCCGCCTCGAGGACATTGCGACATCCACGGAACTGCCAAAGGATGCCTTACCAGCTCTGACCCAATCCAACATTGCTCCATCCTCAGCCAATGCGCCCGCGCCGCCGCCGCCTCCTCCCGCAGCTCCCAAGCCCGCCGATGAGCCCCTTCCCGAATCCATCGAAGACTTTGACAACTTCCTGTCAACATCCGTGGATCGCTATGTCAAGCTGAGCAACGAGTTAGGCGGCACCGTTGCCAAGCAAGCCGCCAGCGTCCTCAAGGGCTTTGAGGAGCAGCGAACCTTCCTCCTCGTCGCATCCAAGGCTAAGAAGCCTGACATGTCCGGACTTCAGAACCTGATCAAGCCCGTCAACGAGGCTGCTATGACCGCCATGGAAATCAAGGAATCGAACCGCGCCGACCCTGCCTACAACCACCTCAGCGCCGTTGCTGATGGAATTATGCTTCTCGGATGGGTCGGTGTTGAGAACCGCCCGTTCAAGCATGTTGATGAGACGCTTGGATCAGCGCAATTCTTTGGCAACAAGGTTACTAAAGAGTTCAAGGAGAAGTAGGTCCTTGTCAGAATCTTTTAATCTCTGTAATTGAACCGCCTGCTAACACAAGCTATTTGGATGGCCCTCAGGGAGCCCAAGCACGTCGAATGGGTCCAATCCTTTTACCAAATCTTCCGTGACCTGTCTGAACTCATCAAGCAGCACTATGCCAATGGCGTAGTCTGGAACCCCAATGGCCAGCCCGCCGCCGAGGTCGCCAAGTCCGTCACAAAGCCCAGCGCCCCCCCGGCAGGAGGCGCACCTCCTCCTCCGCCACCTCCCCCAGGTCCACCTCCTGTGTTGGATATCAAGACGGAGCCCGCGCCGGCCGCTGCCTCTTCCGCATCTGGAGGTTTTGGAGCTGTCTTTTCAGAGCTGAATAAGGGAGAGTCGGTCACCAAGGGCCTTCGCAAGGTTGACAAGTCCGAGATGACGCATAAGAACCCCTCGCTTCGTGCCGGGTCCACCGTCTCTGATGGCTCAGGAGCCTCTAGAGGAAAGAGCCCTGCCCCAGGCAAGAAGCCCAAACCTGAGAGTATGAGGGTGAAGAAGCCGGCCAAGAAGGAGCTGGAAGGAAACAAATGGACGATTGTATGTGGATATAGTGCTTTGGCATGATTTCGTTTGTTTGCTAATGATTCGTCTTGTCTGCAGGAAAACTATGACAAGGAGCCTGAGCCAATTGAGATAGACGCAACTCTCTCTCACTCGATTCTCATCAGCCGATGTAACAACACCACGGTCATCGTCAGGGGCAAGGCAAACCAAGTGACCATCGAGAACTCAAACCGCCTCTCACTTGTCGTTGACTCACTTGTGTCCACTGTCGACGTTGTCAAGGCACAGAATTTCGCCCTGCAGGTCATGGGCGTCATCCCAACCGTTTTGCTCGACCAGGTTGATGGCGCCACCATCTACTTCAGCAAGGAAAGCACTTCTACAAAGGTGTTTACAAGCAAGTCGGCCGGCATCAACGTCAACATAATCTCAGGGCCAGACGAAGACTATAAGGAGGTACCCTTACCTTCGCAGATCTGCTCGTACTATGACGAGGAGAAGGGCGAGCTTGTCAACGAGATTGTTGATCATTCGGGCTAGGCCTTGCTTTAAGGAGAGCGGACAGCTACATTTTGAGATACCATTTGTGAGCGTCGCACATGTACTACTAGGAGAGAGCTGGATAATTTAGATGGCCCGAGAAACGGTCTGCATATATAACAAGTAAATATAGGAGCTATCGCTGCGTCACCGAGTGTAGTCGCCGTAGAGTTGATCACTGAACAAAATGTATGAGTGTGCTCACCTGCATATCCAAGGACTGCTGGAAGGCGAACTCGGGGCTGTCAACGTTCCTCTGCGTGGCTAAAGAGTCGATCGTCTATTTTATCTACAGGCCATGTACTCTCAAATCTTTACAACAACATGATGATTATATACAGTGAGCAGCTTTCATCGTAACAAGTTGCGATCCCTTTCCACATCCCAATTGCGGTGGATGGGTTTTATCTTTGCAACCAATTCTTGAGGACTAAAGGAAAATGACCCATCAAATATAACAAAATGACCATAAATCTATTGCTGCGAAACACGTAAGCCTGCTCGTTGCTGTGGTGGATTAACAATGCAGCAGAACTATAATCCTTTACTCTATAGCTTGGACTTGGGGGCTTCCAGAGAGGGAATGAGAAGATCTCGCATATCACCGGCAGCCTCGTTCAAATAGTAGCTCATTCGATCGCTGCCCAGATTTTTGGATACAATATTGAAGTTGATACTGCAAGTCGTTAGATCCTGTAGAGAAATTCCCAGACACAAATTGTTTGTACTCACCTGTTCTCGTTGATCATGTAGGCAATACCGAAACCCCCGTCGATCACTTGGCTCCAACCATACCCATTGAAGAACTCAGAACTGAGTTGAGATGAGGATATGTACCAGGAGCTAGAGTAGCTATAGGCGGGGTCTTTGTAAATGGCGGGAACCTCCTCACCGGGTTCAAGAAGTTTCTTAAGACCAAACAGATGACGATCTACACCTTTGCCGTCCGAGGCGGCAGTGATGTACTCCACATGGGCGGCAATTGCTTTGCGGAAGAGGTCTGTCTTGGTCTTGCCATCAACCGAGGAATCTGCCATTGCCTTGCACCATGCCGCTGACTCCTCCGAGACTGTGCGGCATGTCTCTGTGCGACCGAGCTGGAAACGTCGCGTAGCAGCGGACTCGTAGGTTGGGCGATTTTTGCCATACATCTTGAAATACGCGAGTTGGATAACCATTTGCACGTAGGCATCTGGGGAGCACTTGAACTTCTTGATGAGGCCCTTGCCGTAACCCTGGTAGGCCTGTACGGCCAGCTGGTGCTGCCCGATAACATCGTTGAAGTCCTTGGTGGCCCGATCAATCTCTGACTGGATGGCTGGGCTAATTTCGAACTGGACAAGCTCAGGTTCAGGCAGATTGGAGCGAACTGACGGGTCGGAGAAGTCTAGTTTGTTTCCAAAGATTAGGTCGTTAACGTAGTCATTCAGGCGGTGGGTTGGCGTCCCATCCATCATGGAGTGCTCGCCCATGAAACCCGACGTGCCATTGTCGTTCACAATGAACTGGAGAGGCTTGTCGTACCAGCGATTGGCCCCGTCGCCATGCCAGTATTGGTGAGCCCTCTCTTCTAGAGTTACTGGGGAGGCGTCGTCGAGACAGACGACAAAGGAAGCAGATTCGATCGCCTCGAGAGCCACCTTATTTTTGGGGCTGGAGTCCAGAAGCAGCTTGCGAGCGTCGGCCCACACATCACGGTTCTCTGATGTCAAAGCACCAACGGCAGGGACGCGCTGAGCAATCTCGTACACTCGACGAAACTGGGCCTCGAGCTCGGAGGTGTTGAGCTGCTTGCCAGCAACCTCGTGCTGAATTTTGAAGAATTGGTTCTTACGAATCACGATGATGTGTTTATGCTCGTCGG